AAAAGTGGTATCAGGCAAAACTTTGGCGTTATCAGTTCAAAATCTATGCTTTTGATCTTGAGTGTCAGGTTGACTGTTGAAGTTTGACTTCATATCGAACTGAAAAAGGAGAAGTGCGAATATGTTGGAGAACACATTCTTGAAAAGTTGAAGGTTTTTTCACCCCTTCCTTAGACTAACCCTTGTCATCTTTTTACTCAGCGTTCTTGAGGACTTCAAGTCAAGGGTGGGCAGGCCTATATCGGATCTTCTCCTCTGAGAATAGCTCTGCACACACAGTCTCTTTGGCTCCTCTGATGTCGTCATGCCATCTTTGTTCCTTGTTTTTTTCAACCCACTACGACCAGTTTTCATTTCGATTCACTCATTGTCGTCATAGTATTCCGTCAGTTCGGCTGACTGATGACGTTAGTTGGCGAGTGCGTGAAATTTCTTTTCAGCAGTGGTGACGGCATCCTGCTCAATGACGAAAGTCACCATGGATATATCCTAATTCCTCCAAATTTGCAACGTTTTTCAGTCCAGCGATTAATAGCTTGCTGAATGCTTCGCGGATGTCAATGTGTCAATGCAGCCAATAACTCAAGAATGGTATTTTCTAGGAACCCATTGCGAATTTTCTCAGCGTTCCCATTCTTTGCCTTTCCCTGCTAGTAGTATAGTAATAGGATGTAAACTAATTAAAAGTACGAAATGTAGCCTTTTCCTTGAGAAAACAGTAGTTCCTCATCAAACACTGCCGAGTGAGAGAGGGTGCAGAAGGTGTGCTCGCCTGTGATTGGGCGATCGGCGGGGGGCGGGGCTGTTCCCAGGAAGCAGCTGTTTCTACAATCATCTCAGTCGACCATGACCGGTCAAGCACGGTCACGCGCTACCGTATACCGACTGTCATCCATATTTTTCCCATAGACTGACTCATACAGTGCGTGTTTCGTGAACAACAGCTTCTAGAGGATTTGATTCAATTGCCTCTTTTCTATTTCACGCTTTTCAGATGTCACTCTCGGACTTTTGGGTCCATCGACTGATATCGACGAACTACGCCATCACCGGTGCCGTCGTGTTCTAGTGCTTCTTCCGAAGATATCTCAAAGTTGTCAGATGCGCCACCTCTCTTGAAACCGGAAGCAATGAAACCGATGATGGACTTTGGCGCGCTCCAAATGTTTCAGCTGCAATTAATGTGGCAGCCACACCTTATGCAGAACTTCCTGGCAATGATGCAAACTGATCAGGAGCACAGGCACCATGAAAAGTTACAACGATTCAAGGTGAGCTCTTCATTCTTTGGTGAAAATATTTCGGATAATGCAAAGGAATTTTTCAGGAGATCACACCTAGCAGCGCTGTGAATGCTCGAAAAAGGCCTCCGTCGGTGGCCAGCGAGGGAAAGAAGTCAAAGCATCGGAAACTTGGAGATGACCCAGTGAATGCTTCACCCGTCAGCGGGATGTTCATCAAGGTTGGTTAGTAGATTGCGCCGATGATATCGCAGAAAACATTAATGATTATCCTGCCTGATACACCCTCATGTCCCAAAAAAGGTTTTTTGCGCGCGAGTGTTCAAAGAAATTATCAGGTCCCATGTGGGGCCTTTTACACGCTCCTATGAAAATCAATTGCCCAAAAATTAGTGAATGAGGACAGTTCATTTGCCGCTCATGTTGAGGTGGGGGCATTTTGCTGGCTCCCATCAATGAGGAGATGGGCGCAGAGGAAGGATATAACAAATTGTTCGATTTCCATCTAAGGGCCGCCGTGAGCAAACGGAAACATTAGCGATCTGCTCATAGATTCCCCCCCCTCCTACCACACTCAACTTCATTGAAAATAGGTTCTGCTAAAAGATCTCAGCCTGTAAGACCTATAAGATCAACACATGAAATCACACAAATTGAGTTACATCTCTAAGCTTTAGTGGCCCCGGTAGCGTAAGTGGTAACGCAACTGCCCGGTAAGCAGAAGATGCGGGTTCGAGTCCCGCCCGTGGTCCGACTTTTGCCCACAACTCAGCATTCTTGTGATAACTTTCGTATCGCGGACACATAGCGGCTAAAACAGCAGTTTATCAAACAGAAAAACATCTAAAACTTGTAGCCTTCAGCCTTGCGGTTCACTGCCGATATCGGCTAACCGGCTCATCACGTTGAACGTGTGAGTGCTCGAAGGCAATGGCACAAATAGCCATTGAGCTGAGAGGTCAAAAGTGGCCCCGGTAGCGTAAGTGGTAACGCAACTGCCCGGTAAGCAGAAGATGCGGGTTCGAGTCCCGCCCGTGGTCCGACTTTTGCCCACAATCTCTAGCAAGTTCTCTGGTGATGAACTTTCGTATCGCGACAACTGGCAGCGTAAAACAGTTCTAGTTATCAAACAATAATACAGTCTAGAAATTGTAAACTTTGTAAAGCGCTACGAAATGGTACAGCGAAGCATGTGCACGCCACCTGTGAAGAGCTGCCTACTTTTGTAAAGCTGATACAGTCATGCATAGTGAAGCTCATACAACTTCGAGCTTATTAGGGTGGGCAGGTCCCAGTCTCACCAAGGCGAAGAAACTGAAGAAACTAACCAACTAGCACAATGTTTTATACCCTCCTTCTCAACCCCCTTCCCCCAGCCGAGCATGCCTTCCTCTTGGTTTTTATGTATTTGTTTTACTTTCTGCAGCATGTAATGAGGCTCCAAAGCTTATGACGAATCCCCATTCACCTTTCTAACCTCACTATCATCTTGAAATATAAGCTTTCAAGGGAGGCTGCACTTTTCGGAAGCAGTTCATCAGATCACCGTAAGGCACTTATGGCTCATTATTTGTCAGCCGTCGTCGGCACTAGCGGTAGTCAAAAAGCTCCCGATCGAGCCTTAATTGTCACCCGCTGAGCTTTTGACCTTAACGCCTTCGCTTCAGCAAGCCGCCTCGATTAGCATCCGATAGCTGTCGTGATTATGGATCGTTCTGACCGTCGGTCTCTCTTATAATCTTGAAAAGGCAATCGAAAGTGACAGCACCCCTATTTGATTCGGAAATGAGGAATTACTGGTCTCGAAAGAGGTGCTAAATAAATACTGAATAATGGCTTCAGCTGAGGGTATAACAGTTTCCAAGTGGTAGAAAGCGCTGAAGAGCAGAAACAGCTTGCAAGTCTCTTCTTCTCAGACAGAATCCCGCTTCGAATCAAACTCAAACTTCCTTTTTCAGAATGTTCCCCTCACCCTAGTTAAGATTCCGAAGCTAGTTAAGATTTGTCCCGAGTTTTCATCCGGCTCTGCCTTTGTCTCAGCATCTTGTTCATTCTGTGAAAATCAGCATTAATGCAGTGTCAATCAAAGCGGGCAAGTCCCTGGGTTGGAGGAACAGATTTTGCACAAGTACGACCCCCCCCTTCCTGGAAAGGTTCCGGTACAACCCCGGTTCCCATGCCGTCTTACCTAGCACGTTCCTCAATTTAATCAAAATCCTACCACTTTTCCACAGTTTTCTTTCAAGATTCTTCAATTTTTTTCCAAACAAAATAGCCAGCGAGCGGGTAATATACAAAAATATTCCAAATTATCGCAAAGTAGCGCAGGGAGGAAGTGTAGTGGCAAATGACCGATCAACCCTCGAATCGCTCCCGACCAACAAACTACCCTAAGGCCGGGGCGCAAGGTACTGCATGGGAGATATATATCTCCTTCGAAATACTACTTCAAAATATCACTTTTATTCTGAATGGAAGCTGAATGCGTGGCGCATCCCGAATAAGATTTTTCAGGATTAGCCTTTTGAGACGTAGCGAATCTACCCTCATTATATTCATGTACTATTTTGTGAATAGATTGCCTATTAAAGATTTTAAGGACGAGTCAGCTGTGCCCTCTGCTGAAGAATTGCAAAAGGATGCCGATTCGCTGGACGAAACGGCTGCCTACGTAGAAGTGTCAGAAGAGAGCCGAAAGAAAATTGAAGCAATCGAAAACGTGATTGGCGATTGCGTTTGTTGTTTGTGTAAGGTGAGCATATTCAGCCTGATTGCTAAAGACGAAGTGCAATTAACAGTAAGGAGGGGCAAAACACAAAGAACATAGTCACTCAACAATACCCTTCAGGTGCGCTACGACGACGTTTTCAAACTAGCCCAACATCGCTGTCCTCGAATTGCTCACGAAGAGTATCGATGTCCAGAATGCGAAAAGGTTTTAGTTTT